TGGGCACTTCTACTGAATATTAATGTACGTTTACTCCCAATAATTTTAACAGTAGCTTGGATTTAACAAAAAAATCTCTCATCACCCATAATGACTAAGATATGCAAAATAAGACATAAACACGAACATGTAACAACTCTCTCATTGGCTAAACCACTAATTGTCATGTCATCTTCGGTTGAAATACTACTTGTGATCAACATTCATGACTGGTTTATTCCCTGCCGTTACTTAAAGGGGCACCGTGCTCTGACGATGACTGAGTGGGCGGAGACGTACGGACCAGTCTACCGGATACAGCTGGGGAATCAGACGATGGTTGTGCTATCCGGATATGACGTCATTTATGAGGCTTTGGTGAAGACAGCAGAAGATTTTTCCAGCAGACCAGTGAACGCCATAACATCGATTGTCAACCCACAGAGGCTAGGTAAGTAACCGTGTGTTCTATCGCTAAATATTGTATAATTTTGTCTGTAACTTCTATTCACGCGTTGGCCAATAAGGTAGTGGATTCAAATAACGTGACAATATTCTAGTTTTTGCATAAATAGATAGACCCTAAAGCCCCACCCATGTATCTCCGTCAAAACGTAAAAAAATGAAACTTTCAATGGCAATGAAAACATACATTGCCATGGCGACGGTTGCTGTTAGGGTTATTGTTTGCATGGTACTGCCATGATTTCATTTTTAGAAAGACTTGGTACCTCCCTAAGACGTCGCCAAAAATTCAAAAGAGCCTGTAGGAAATGTATAAGTGTTGCCATTGGAATGAATGAATGAATGAATGAATGAATGAATGAATGAATGAATGAATGAATGAATGAATGAATGAATGAATGAATGAATGAATGAATGAATGAATGAATGAATGAATGAATGAATGAATGAATGAATGAATGAATGAATGAATGAATGAATGAATGAATGAATGAATGAATGAATGAATGAATGAATGAATGAAACAGCCTAATTTCCAGGCATCATCACGGCCCCTTTCGGCACTGCGTGGAAAGAGCACCGGAAGTTCACCCTGATGTCTCTGCGGGAGTTCGGCTTCGGGAAGAGGAGTCTGGAGGGGAAGATCCTGGCGGAGTCGGAGGCTCTACAGGCAGAAATCCTGAGGATGGGAGGCGGGCCGTTCGACATCGGCCGCATGGTGCAGAATGCAGTCACCAATGTCATCTGTTCTATTGTGTTTGGATCAAGGTAATATATAACGCCACATCACTTGTTGGTTCTCGTATTTGGCAGAAAAAAATATGAAGTGACAGGGTGGATAAGTTTTAAAAAAACAGGCCCGGGCAACTTATAATACCCCGAAATGCTACTATATAGGAGCCATGAATTCAAAATATTAGGCTGGTTTGTAATTCAAACAATGAACTTTAAAGTTGTAATCAAACCACTGCATTTTTAGATAAAATTAACGTAGTAAATATAAAGACGCTGACTTTTGTCAACCCTTTGGACGAAAATATAACGATTTTGGAGTTGATTAAGAACCTAAATCCTTCTTTTAAAGATAAAAAACAGAGCTGGCAAATCCGAGAACCAATTAATTCAATGGGTGTAGCCTGAGCTTAAAATTGTGACGAACATAAGTCTATTGAGTCTCAATAGAATCCAATTATTCCCCTCAAATCATACCATTCACTTCTAATGCACTCGGAAAACCGCACAAGTCTGATATCTTTTTATTTTTCCACTAGGTTTGATTACAACGACGACAAGTTTACACGCTTGATGGACGCTCTTGACCGAGGATTTGCCTTCAACTTTTTTGGTCAACTGGCGGTCTTTTTCCCCATCTTACGACACGTTCCGGGAATGGGGCGAGGTCCGAAACTTATTCAAGACGTCCTGGGTGTCGTCAGAGGCTACATTAAAGAAGAAATGGATTCCCACAAGGAAACATTCGATGCCAATGACATCCGGGACCTTATCGACTCATACGTCAGGGAAACCAAGTCTCACGAGAACAACGGCGAGACTACGTTCACTGACGAGTACACAGAACTAGTCCTTTTTGACATGTTCATCGCCGGTTCTGAAACAACCTCCACTACTCTGTACTGGGCCTTTCTGTATATGATTCTCAACCCGGATATCCAACGAAAGGTACCTTACGGCACTCCTTAGACCGTCCTCGTGAAGAATAATGCGTCATAATTCCCGAGGAAGGCAAAATCATCATTTGAACATTCGTTAACTGAACTGTTGTTTTTTTTTCAGAGAAAGTTTCAAATTTGATCTAATTTGACGCCTTCGTCAATGTTGTAAGATGTGCCACTTAGCATGAGAGGATCTAAGTCTAGATTTCTTCTTTTATCTTTTAATTCCAGGTCCAAGCTGAGATCCACGCTGTCCTGGGACACGACCAGCAGCCGTCCACCGCCCACCGTGCGCAGCTGCCGTACACAGACGCCGTGCTGACGGAGGTGGCGCGCATGGGCACCATCCTGCCGACTAGCGTCTTCCACGCCACGTCACGTGACACCAGTTTCCATGGTTACCACATTCCAGAGGAGACGACGGTGCTGGTAAGTGGAATTCACCAATTTCACACTTCCCATAATGCCTAGTAAAGATCACGGATATGACGTACTGTAAGACCACCCCTCCCCCTTCCTCGATTTGATATTTCCAACAAGTTCTATCGACAAACTGGTCAACTATATTGTTTTGAATTATTTATCTAGTATAAAGAGCATGCCATAATTGCATTTTTGTTGGAATTAGAGAAAATGACGTACCTTCTATCGTTCTACCTTCTACCGAAGACTCTCCTACTCGCACGGTTGCATTACGTATATCCCCTTACAACGTCATATCCCATCCATATCCGTGATCTTTACTAGGCATTATGGGAAGTGAAATTGGTGAATGGTGGTGAATGGCTGATTGTTTATGTTGTCATCTTTTTGTGGAGAACCGGATTTCACACCCGGGCCTGTGAACGATGTAGAGTTGTTGGCAATGTCTTGTTTTGATACATTAGGCCACAGCAAATGAATTTTATGGATGACATCCTCCTCAGACAGCAAATTCAAAGCGATAGGGCGAGAAAACGACGCTAGGAAAAAACAAGATTCTAACAACTTCTTACTATCAAACGCGAGCAATTGTGCCTCAAGTTTGCTGGATCGCTGACGGTCTACGAACAGATAGACGTTTACAACATTTTGCACAACTTTGGCACGTTTACCACCGGTAAAAGTCAAAAATCTTTAACGACAAATTGAAAGTCAGTCGAAAATTAATGCGCACGATGATGCCATCCATAACATAACTTTCTGTGACCTTGTTGTGAATCTGTTACTTATTCTGTGCATATTACACGTCATAAAAATGCATATTACACGTCATAAAAATGCAATCCTCAAGTAAGTTCAATTCAGATCCTCCCAACCTTAGTGTGGGGAGACCATTTTTCCTCCAATCCTCCCTCACCTCCTCCCTAACCTCCAATTCGATCTTCTTGTAAGTCTATGTTACACCACTCCATGTGATAAAAACTGCATAAAATGAATACAAACTGCAAGTATTCCTGTTCTACAGCCCAACCTGTGGTCAGTGCACTACGACCCGGAACATTTCCCCAACCCCGAAAGATTCGACCCCGGTCGCTTCTTGGACGCCCAGGGGCGATACCAGAGGGACGACCACGTCATTCCTTTTGGTGTCGGTAAGAGGCATTCTCTGCTAGGCCTGCCGTGTGTGTACAAGCTTACTATGTCTGTCTGCTCGCTAGTAAACGTGCAAGAAAATCACGTCGCCGCTATTTTTTACCCCACCGTTTCGTAGTGATATACCACCACAAACTGGGCCTTGTCTTTCCTCAATGAATCATCAGTTTTGAATTTCATTATGGAAGCACCCTCAAAGCAGAAAAGGCAACTGTATTGGGCATTGCCTCTATACACGTGGTACGAGGTAGACGTACTGGTTCCGGTTGGGATACTTACAGCGAGTTAATCTATGGATAATTATAATGGAAATTTCTTGAGCCTTATTCCAATGCCTGGGAAACATTCACAAGGTATTGACATAAGCATGTGATAAGAACAGTCTTTGCGATAAAAGAATTATTCAAATATTAACAAATTTAACAGTGACTCGGGGAGCATATCACTTTGCATATCAATCAATAGGTTGTGCTTATAAACCTGTTATCCCCTCTGGTCTCTCAGTCACTGACGAAAGCTAGTGGATACTAGCTGAAACGTCTGACGTTTTCAAAATCATATCCAGTTGCTTGAGTAACTGCTTTTTGGCGTGACTCGGGGAGCGTTTAAAAAGTGTGAATTGACAGGTAGCCAACATAGACAGGATTGGATCTTGTAACCCTGTGTAGGTCCGCGCATGTGCCTGGGTAAACAGCTGGCTGAGATGGAGCTCTTCGTCTTCTTCACGTCCCTGCTGCAGCACTTCACTTTCAAACTGCCAGAGGGCGCCACTAAGCCGTCCATCACAGGGATCTTCGGCATAACGAACTCGCCCAAGAAGTTCGAAATGGTTGCTGAGCCAATAGCTTGAGTTACTGTCTCGTTATATGATTACATTCGCCAAGAATTGACGAAGGTTATGTTTTCCTGGCCGTGTGTCTGTGTGTCTGTCTGTCTGTCTGTCTGTCAACAGCATAACTCGAGAAAGCTTAGATGGATTATCTTGATATTTGGTAGGTGGGTAGGTCTCGATAAGACCTGGAAATGATTAGATTTTGGACCCCCTAGCGGCTTGTTATGGTACTGCAGCTAAACTTCCGGTTTTGATATCTCATTATCTAGATATGCTAGGGTAACGAAATTTGGATTGTAGGTAGCTCTCATGCTGGGGAAGAAGTGACATGAGTTTGGGCCCCCTAGCGGCTTGCTCAGGAACTGCAGGGCTATCTGTTTGAAAATATTCAAAAGAGGATAACTCAAGAACCGGTGGACGGATCGTCGTGATTTTTGGTATGTAGGTAGCTCAAGTGACGCTTGACATAATTATGC